TGTTTTATTTTCATTGTACTTGCTTCCCCCTGGGATCTACTTTTTGCAAATATAACGTGTCAAACCATTTTTATGCTGATGACATTCAGGTTTATCTTCCATTAAGATCTAGCGGATCCCAGTCTATAAATAGGCTACATGAATGCTTAAAAGACGTGAGAGCATGGATGGATCTGAACTTTCTTTATCTTAATGATAAAAAGACAGAGTTTGTTTTATTTGGTAACTCTGATGAACTGACAGGATGCAGTAGTGCTGTTGGACCACTGGACCCTTTATCTGGCTGTGTGTCTGTCAAAAATCTTGGGGTGATTTTGGACTCTGATTTTAAATTTATTGAACAGGTCAGTGCAGTAGTCCAGTCTAGCTTTTATCATTTGAGACTTATAAGTAAAGTCAAGGATTACCTTCCTCATAATGCCCTTGAGAGGGTTGTTCATGCTTTTCTCACTTCTAGACTGGACTACTGCAACTCTCTTTATTGTGGGATGGATCAAGTCTTTGGTTTGTCGTCTACAGCTGGTTCACAATTCAGCTGCCTGTTTATTAACAGGTACAAGACGTCGCGAACATACAGTATCACTCCAATTTTGTATTCTCTTCACTGGTTGCCTTTCTTTTAGAATTGTTTTTAAGATTTTGTTTTTAGTTTTTAAATGTCTGAATGGTTTGGCACCTCATTATCTRACTGAGCTTTTACAGCCTCACATTCCWAATAGATCCCTGAGATCTGTAAATCAAAAGCTTTTAGTTGTTCCCAGGTCTCGGCTTGTGACCAGGGGAGACAGAGCCTTTTCAGTTGCAGGACCTCGGCTCTGGAACAARCTCCCACTGTCTGTGAGGTCAGCTGGGTCTCTAAATGAGTGTAAGTCTCTGTTAAAAACTCATCTGTTTAAACAGGCATTTGAGTCTGAAGAGCAGGACCACTAAGTCAGCCTTTGCTGTTTTGTTTGATTTTATTATTCATTTTATTACTGTACTTTGCTCATTGTTTTTATTTTATGCTCACTTTGGTTTTTATTGTGCTTTATAAATAAATGATGATGATGATGATGATGATGATGATGATGATGATGATGATGATGATGATGATGAGGGTCACTAGTGGCCATATCCAGCAGTCACAGTGCGAGGGGCAGTGTACACCCTGGACAGGTCTCCAGTCCATCACAGGGACACATAGAGACAAATGAGACAGACCTTTTGACCACCAATGGTCATGTCTCCCAACTAACTGAACTCTGTTCTGAAAAATGTTTTCTTAGCTGTAAATATCTGTCCTTGTCTGCAGATAATGCTGATGCAACAGTTTTTTAATCTTTTAAGATTCATTATAAAAATAATAATCAACATGATTTTATTTTTTAAAGGTATTTCTATTTCAAGTGTGTGTTGTCAGATCTGAAGATGATTTCTGAACTGTCATTAATTTCCACACCAGTGCAGATCAGGGGGAAACAACAGATGCATGTCTTTTTGACTACAACACCACTCTGTCCAGTAAACATCTCTCCCAAAAAGAAATATTTTGACTTCAGACAGATTTGTTATATCTATAACACACACAGCTGAATGCTGAGTGTAAATGGATAGAAGCCAGTTTGTTAGTTTTGAGTTGGATTCTGCTGAGAGCTTCAGGACCCGATGATAGGCGAACAACCATCTGAGGGGAAAATGTAATTTTTAATTTCTGAAAACAAGAAGTTTGTGCCGACCCAGTGGGTCTCATAAGGCTGTTTTGTGATGGAAAGTCAAGCCACCTCAGTGAGTTCATACAAACCTCTCCGTAATGACCTCCAGGGCCAGTCTGAATCATCTGGACCTCAGAGTCACATACACAGAGACTTCACCTCCAATGAGACAAGCGTCTCCAGCTTTGGTGAGCTGATGTAATCAGGCATTACACACAAATCGTTCCCAGAACAGTGCTGGTTAAACAGCCGAGGCAAACTTGATATTCTTCTGATCTAAGATTAAAATTATCAATGACTAAATCTGACCAGATCTTAACATCTTCTCTCCAAATTGACAAAAACTTATAGGTTTTAACCTGGGTCTCTTTATTAGAAAAATATATTTTCATTCTATAAAGGTTTTAACATCCAGACCTTAACTAGACGTATAACATCAAGTCTACACTCCTTTTCATCTTTAACTGTTTATAAACCTTATTGCTTCTTTCGTGTTGTCATTTTTACTGGTTTAGTCATGATTCAATGTAAGTGATTCTTGCATATTTTTGTAATAAATTACCAAAAAGATGAAGCTGGTCCCTCATCTTTGAATATTTTGYCCTGAGATGAGAATTCCCTGTTAAGGCCCTGTTATTATGTACAGGCCAAAATGAAGCTACCAGTTGATTTTTTCAAATCCAGCTTTAACATTGACGTCTTTAAAATGTTCATAAATTGGCATAAGTTGTCTAGTGTTACAGGGCTTTTACATCATACAAATCTCACACATAAATATGAGTCTGATTAAAAAGGGTGAATAAATGTTGGTCAATAAACTGACCTGGTGCCCCAACTTGGTAAAAGTATAGTGCAAGACATAAATAGTTATCACTCTTTCTGTTTCACCACACAGACAACCATTCACTCACTAATCTGTGGACATGATGGATGATTTCAGAAAAGAGACAGAGGGAAGAATTTTCTCATAATCATTCTAATAATAAAAGTTCAGGGAGGAAGTATTTATACACCAGTGGTAATTTTTAAAAACTCCTTACCACACTTTTTAATTGTATAAATATTTTTCAACAAATTTTTTTCAACCGAAAAACAAAACAAAACAAAAC